TCTACAGCCACGTCTACAGCTGCGTTGTCTACAGCCGCGTCAGAGCACCAGGACAGTTCACTGGTGTCATCATCTTTAATTGATGATACTGAGGTGTCTGTGGAGATTGAAAGGTCAAAATCCAAGACTTCTGAACTGGTGTATTTGTCTCCAGTGGATGACTTGGGGACACTTGTGGAGACTAGAGCCTCACAGGAGACTTTGTCCATGGTGTCAGTGTAACCTTTTTCTGAGATTGCACAGTGGCTGCTGTCTGAGGTTGCACAGTAGACACTGTTCACATTTGGGCAGACCTTCATTGCCAGTTGGGAGGAGGTCAGACTGGATGAGGGAAGACAATCAATTAGTAAATCAGTCAGTGTCAATTAATTAAAACCATCAGTCCATCCAACCTGATGTGTTTTTTAGTTCCAGCGTAAAACATGTGGTCACTTACTAGTCCCAGCTGTTGCCATCCTTTCTCAGGTGGCTCATGTTGATGAAGGGATGCTGCAGAGCTTGACTAGGAGTCATTCTCTGATCCCCGTCAACATGCAGCAACCCTTTCAACAGAGAGACAAAGACCATGCGGTCGTCCATCTCAGCAGCCTCCAACTTTGGATGGAACTGGATTTGAAAACAGGTTTCAGGTCAAATGATCCAGCTCCCAATTGACAGATAAATAACTGGCACAGATCCAGTCTTTACTTGTACAACACATGAGAGTGTACTCACAAAAATCAGGCTGATCAGAGACCTCAGAGAGCTCGGCAGCCCCTCTGTTTCCAAGTTGTTCGTTGCTGTGAATTCTTCTGCGGTCTAAAGGGACAAAAAGGAAACAAGATGAGAACAGGGCAGTATGATTTAAAAGTGCTCCAATAAAATTTCCCATCAAAGAAGAACATGGTTACTCTACCATCAGTCTCCATGATGAACTGTCTGCACCCTGCTCTTCAATGAAGAAACGTCGGCTGTACTCGCCGTCACGGAGCAGACGGTCCTCCGGCTGGCCCAGCACTGTTACTATGCCCTTCATCTGCAGACACAATACACATCATGAGAATCACATCCACTTACATTCTCTATGAATATGAAAAATAAATAAAACCCTGTTTGGTGAGGTGATACATACCATTTGATAATCAGAGCTAATACAGAACGGGTTTTGAGCCATGTACAGGAAGGCCAGTACACACCCGACCCCCCACACATCGACGGCCTCGGTGAATGGAAGGCCGAGTGAGATTTCTGGAGCCCTGAGAAGGAAAGACATGAGCCAAAGATGAAAAATCTGTTGAAACATTTCAGAGCAGAGAAAATAATGAGGCTGAAAAGATGCTGTGCAGGATGAACTCACCTGTACCCATTCGGCTGGATGTACATCCCCTGGTGGATTTTGGACTTCATCATGGAGCAGCCAAAATCTATCAGCTTCACCCTGAGTGGCTGATCCTGCAAGTGGACAAACATAATGTTGTCTGGTTTGATGTCCGCATGCAGGACACCCATAGCCTTCAGGGCGTCCAGGGCCACCAAGACCTGCAGGGACAGAATGGATGCTAAACATGGGGATCTCTCTAACAAAAGTGTTGGTTTCATGATGCATTGATTGCAGCTACATACCTGCTTGGAAATTGGGCGGATCTGATGTAGATGAAGGTACTTCCACTGTCTCCACTTTAGCAGGTCATAGAGACTCATGTCCAGCCTCTCAAAGACCAAACAGTTCTGTTCCATGTGCACAAATTGCTCATGGAACCTGACCATGTAGGTGGAATCCAGGTGACCTATGAGTTTCAACATAGAAACCTGGAGAGAAAAGAGGAGGCTTAATGAGACAAGCCTGTCAACAGCTTGTGATCAGCTTCATGTTCGGATGGAGCAGACAACACCGGAGCACAGGAATATAAACAAAGAATTCAGTCTCATACCTCATGCTCAATGTCCTGGGTGGACTCTTTTTTTTTCAGGATTTTAACAGCCACATTCTGTTTAGTCCTGAGATTTATCGACGCAGCGATTTTTCCAAAGGAGCCTTCCCCTATGAAATTCAGGACTGAATAGGAGGAACAGCTGCTTTGGAGCACGTCGCCGGCCTGAACTTCATAAGCTGTCAGTGCAACTGGGGAGAGAGATGGTGGAGACAAAATGTGAAACGTGGGTGTCTTCCGTGTGAGAGATTAATTCAGTCAACCCGATATGAACAAACACACAACTGAACCAGGAGTCACATGTCTTTGTATTTCTGCAGTTTTCATTTTAAGAGCATGTGAAGACTAAAAAAATGACCAACATTGTGTTGATTTCCTGAAAACTTATTTTAAGTACTTTTAAGTACTACTTAAAAAAGTTTTTTATGTTTTCAGTGAACGTAGCAGACAAAATGATGTTGATGCTGTGATAAAACAGCAAAAACAACATTGGCCTCAAGTAACAAACAATGAGTTGTTCACTCTTGGACATAAAGTCAGTGCAGAAGGTGACACAGMTGCTGAGTGTGTTACTGTGCATTTAAAGGGATGGGTCAGCCAAAAAAATGAAAATGCACTCATTTTCTAATCACTACTATGCAGATGGAGGGTGGATTGAAGTGTTTGAGTCCATGAAGGAGTTTCAGGGGTAAAACAGTGTTGCACCAAAATCTAATAACATTGAAGTAACTGGTGAGGGATTTTTCAAATGTAACAACAGAAAAAAGAGAACATGCCTCCATACTGCTCCTGTGGTGACATGTAAGTGTCTGTAAGCCCCAAGATTCCAATTCCACAAGAAACGGCTTCATTTACATCATGTATTTAGCCTAAAAGTCAGCTACCGGAAGTAGTGATGCTAGCACAAGAAGCAATGCTAGCAGAAGTAGCCATGCTAGCAGAAGTAGTCATGCTAGCAAAAGGAACTAGCCTCTGACATCTACTTCTTCGCGCATACACAAGGACACAGGATGCACGTTAAAATCACTTCTTCTGCT